ATATATTTGTCTCTTAATATATATATATATATATATATATATATATATATATATATATATATATATATATATATATATGAAAACATTTAAAATAAAAAAAGTAATTTCATTTAGTATCTTTATGCCATAATGAGCTGCCATTGATAGAACTGTCAAGTTATTAACATTCAAAATAATTTACATAATAAATTATTTTCATAATAGAAAAAATATATTTTTTTTTATAATCCGTATATTTTATATACTTATTATATATTATATTATGTTGTTATAAAATTCAAGCATATGATATTTCTAAACAAAATAATTTCATTTCAGATAGGTGGGGAAAATAAAGTATATAATACTTTGTGACAATATTATCCCACCCTCTGATCTTTGACATTAGCGGTAAGTAAGTTCCAGTCCAGAACAACTTTTCCATTGATGAATAAGGTTGAATTGGGCACCGGCTCCGTGACTGTGCTCATGAAAGTTTCACATCTGTGCTGTGGGGGGAGAGCAGAGGCTAAATCCAATTTGTGCACGGACTCAGTGTGTATTCTTTCGCCCGTTGCGCCGGCGAACTCTCTCAGACCTCTGCGAGCACGAGGATTAGAGCCTGTGATCCCCAGCTCTTCAAAAGCTTCCAACCTCCGTCCCGTCCCTTGCTCAAGGCCTCACCATCAATCTCCCGCTGTTCTTTAAAAAAAACACTCACTGAGCACTTATCCCTTAAAGTCCAGCCAGGACAAACACTCCCCGGCCAGGACTGGAAGCGCACAGAGTTGGGCGGCAGGGAGCAAAGGGGGGTTTGGGTGGCCTGTTTTGGCTTAATTAGGGGATTAGGGAAGATTCCTGTGCTTTTTACCACTTCCTGTTGGGAGTGAGAGAGTAGGAGGGCTCTGATGTGTTAACCGGCCAGCCCCGACCCCGAAGGGGACTAATCCACGTGAAGAATACACTACTTGCTAAACATCAGGTGCTGACCCGGGGTCAACTGGGTATCATGGTGTTTACCCGACAATCAAGTCCTAATTCTCTCCTCGCCTTGATCTGATCCCTCCATGGTTACTCTCTCTCCTCAATACAACTCCATCTACTCAACCACCCTAGAAACACTACTGAAAACCTGTTGACACTTACAGTCTCTCAAAAGGACTCTAAACATTTGATTTGAATAAATGCATTAATCAAATGCTAAAATAAAAAAATAAAAAATAATAAAATATGCAAAGAACAGCTGACTTGTTACATATAGTTTTATATTTCATTCATGTAAGCTCAAAGAGTAAATAAAATAAAATAAAATAGCAAAGAAAAAGTGTTTAAAATCAACTTGAACATTAGTCTGCCAAATGCATACAAATAAAATAGAGTGAAATCAAATATGTAAAAATTTACTTGTTATATATAATTTGAAATTACATTCATGTAGCTCAAACAGTAAATAAAATTAAAAAACAATAAAAAAGCTGAAATAGTAATATGCCAAATGCTTACAAATAAAATTCATATAAGGAGAAATATGTAAAATATAAACATATATATATATATATATATATATATATATATATATATATATATATATATATATATATATATATATAATTTTATATTGCATTCATGTAGCTACTGCAGAACAGCAATCCGACAAAGGTATAAAATTAAAAAATAAAAATGTGAAATTTTAATTAAATAGAAAAAAGCATTAATTTTTTTTTGCATAAAAATGCATAAAATAAAATAAAGTCGCAAAGAAAAACAGCTCAAACAGTACTCTGCCAAATGCACAGAAAATTAAATAAAAGTGAAATAAAATACATTAAAAATGGACCTGGAATATATTATTTTATAGGAATTTATAGCAGCTCAAACAGTTAATCTACAAAGCAAAATAAAATAAGTGATACATAAAAAATAAAGTAAGCAAGCACAGCCATCTTTCTATTTGCATATCAGTTTCTCCAGCTCTGACTGATTGAATAATCCTGTAAAAACACTGTAAAGAAAGATGTGGTTGAGTGCTTTGGTCAAACTCGTATTCTTGCCTGCATTTGATGTTCACAATATATCATGAACATTATACTAGAAGTGTCATTTGTGAAGCAGCAGTCATCTGTCAGCTGAACTGGCCTTTCATCATTTCTTCAATAATGCCTGTGTTCCTACAGAAGTGCTATTGGTTTGCCACTCAAATAAATGAAAAGGACAGCCGGGTGACCTCTTCTGGCAACGGCCTCTGTGTTTGTACATGAACGTCACAAAGTCACGTCTGTTTCGAACAGTCATGGATGCATAAACATGATCGGTGAAATCACACCCCACAGTGCTGAAACAGATCAATGCTAAAGCAGAGAAATATGAACGTCTAGCAGCAATAAAAAGACTAAAGCAATTTGTACAGGGTGGATTTGTGAAACTTGACAAATGACCTCAATGTACTTTAATAATTATACATTACTTCTGAAATCATTAAAACACATTCAGCCTATTCCTTACAAAAAGTACCAGGTTAACATGAAATACCATGATTTATTTGACTTGTTAATGATTATTTGAATCTATTATTTGAAGTCTGCGTTATCATAAATCTAAATATAAAAAATATCAAAAAGTGCCAAATTACTGTCTAATATCTTCAGTGTACTGCAGCTTCATCGCAGTACTTTGTTTTGAAAGAGATTATTACTGTAAAGCATTTTTTTTAAATTTCAGGTTTCATTTTTTTATTTTAAAATTGAATTTAAAAAAAGATATATTTAGAGTTTAATAAATGTATACTTGAAAATAAATAGAAATCATGGTAGTGTTTGTTGTATTGCCTTAAGATAAGTAAATAAATTGCATTACGGTAAATTTGGAGCATAAAATAATAGAAAAATTGATGTAAATAAATAGATAATATATTTATAGTTTAATAAATTTATACTTTAAAATAATTATAAATCATGGTAGTGTTTGTTGTATTGCCATAAATAAATTGCATTACAGTTAAGTTTGAGTATAAAATAATAAAAAAGGTAAATAAATTGCATTACAGTAAAACCAGTATAAAAAAATTGAATATGTGATTTAAATAAATAAATAAATAGCATTAAAATAAATAAATAAATAGCATTACATTTAATTTTGAGTACAATAGAATACGATTTATGTAAATAAAATGCATTACAGTAAAACCAGTATAAATAATAGAAAATATGATGCAAATAAATTGCCTTAAAGTAAATTGTGAGTGTAAAAATAATACATTTTGATGTAAATAAATAGCATTACAGTAAATTGAGTATAAAATCATAAAAAAATGATGTAAATAAATTGCATTATAGTAAATTTTGAGTATAAGATAACAGAAAATAGTATAAGAAACGTCAATGAGAAACACCTTAGTGGGAATAATGGGAATTACAAAATAAAATAAAATAAAATACAATTATATTAAAAGCAATAGGGCATCATGTTAGTGCACTTAAATCTAAAGGTAAAAATAGAATAAAAAGATTAAAGCATTACTTTTTAAGTAAAATAGGGTGAGAACGTGACATGTATGTCATGAGAATATACATAATATTAAAAAAAATGTCTTCAAAAGTAATGCAAAAGGTAGTTTACATTACATTAGACGCCTTTTTACCAAGACCTACATTCCATTTAGCTAACGTAAATACACAAAAACCTTATTTAATGCCCACGCACCTGTCTGTCCTCTATCTCCTAAACCTACAGACACACAGTGTTCCTGCAGCTCAAACAGACACGTCTATCATCAGGATGGCCTCTGTTCTGTGGTCAGCGGAGGGGGAAAGAAAGAGGAACTTACTGGGATTAAACACAAAAGCCTTGCGTTGACAGTCTCCCTGTGACACCCCTCAGCTATCACTGCTATTGTTGTCCTTATTTACCATTTTTACTGATTGGGAGGGGTGTGGGGGGGTCCACAGTGTGTAATTTGCCCAGTGGGAGGTAATTATACTCCCATGGCACTTTGATCTTCCTGACTGTGCATTTGACTGGCCGGGCAATCAGCTCCATTCAAAGGTATCCCAGCATGGCTGGCGTCCCCCCTCTCCTTTACTCTCTCTGTGACTCTCCACTACAGACAAACAGATTACAATGACGGCTCTTAAAGGGATAATCTTTAAAGCTGGAGTGTAATTGATGTACAATGGAGGTAAAGTAAAGGAGGTTGACTAAGAGGATATAGACGTGTGATATGTTAACTGTGAGAGGGATGCGTCACCGCCGTCATCTTAATGCTATGAGATTCATAAACACCTGATTGCTTATACACTTTTTAGTAAACAATAAATAAATAAAACACTGAAATTGAGATTAATTTACTTTTCAGGTCAAATTGCTTTTTAATTTCCTCATGCAAACTGCAGTTCAGTTACTTACGACACAATTTATTTGTATATGCTTCCTCTGAGCACACAGCAGAATTGCACTGAATTACAAAATTCATTTAACATCAAACTATTTTTGCAAACTGTTTTCTAAACTACTATTTGTAAACTGTTATTTGTAAACCCGCTTTGTAAACTACATTTAAATTACCTTATTTGTAAACTACTCTTTGTAAACTTTTTCTAAACTACTTTCAAACTAGTTTATTTATATATTATTATTTGGAAATGATTTCTAAACTACTTTTGTAAATCATTTTGTTTAAACTACCTTATTTGGCAACTATCTCTGAACTACTACTTGGCAAGAATTTCTAAAACACTTCAGCAAACTCTATCTAAACTACTTTAATTTGGAAACTGTATCTAAACTACCTTTGTAAATTACTTCTATTACTATTGTATTTGTAAACTATTTCTATACTACTATGAAATGAATATTTGTAAACTATTTCTAAACTAGTTTTGTAAACGAGTACTAAGCTCATTTGAAAACTATTTCTGAACTACTATTTGGAAGCTAATTCTGAACAATTTTATTTGGAAACAATTTCTAAACTACTACATGAAAACGACTTATAAATTGGTGTTATGAACTATTTCTAAACTATGTTATTTATAAACTACAATTTGGAAACTATTTCTAAACTGCCTTTGTAAACTACTTTACTTGATTTATTTGAATATACTCTATGGAAACTGCTTCTAAACTACTATGTGGAAACTATTTCTAAATTACTTTTATAAACTACTTCCAAACTGCTATTTGTAAATCATTTCTAAACTGCCTTTGTAAACTACTTCTAAACTACTATCTGGGAACTATTTCTAAATATACTTGGAAACTCATTTAAAATGACTTTATTTGTTAACTATTTCTAAACTCTTTTTTTAAACACATGTAAACTACTGTGTGCAACCAGATTTGCTTAAAGTCAGAGGTTGTATGTGACACTTGTCACAGGGATGATGTCTGTTCAATGTGACAATGCTAATCTCTGGCAGGGGTTAAAGGTTAAGGCTAGGGTTAATTTGAAAATTGAATCAGAGGCTCAAAAAAGAACAAATGAATGAACAGCTCTACTAAAGAAAAATAAATATTTGACAGTTACTCCGTCAAGAACTAGCGCTAATTACCAAGACGAATCCTTTCAAAACCACATTAGCTCTTTCTGACGTCAGACTTCAGGGTATTTCGCCAAACAGAATTCAATTTGTTCAAACCCATACAATTAAAAAAAGAACAGATTAATGCAGAATGTAAAGAATATTAAACATTTGTTTCTCATGAATGTTAAAGGTTGCCAAAAGTTTCTGTACATTATTTAAAAAAAAAAAGAAAAAATTTTAAAGGACACAGTTACATAAATTATTTTTTAAAAATCATGGATACTCAAATGCACCAAACACAAATTTCCTTGTCAAGGCAAAATGTGGCTAAAAAAAAGACGATTATTAAAAAATAAATTAAGATAATAATAAATAAATAAATAAATTATATATACAGTGGGTACGGAAAGTATTCAGACCCCCTTACATGTCTTTAACTGAAAAATGAGTGTTTACTATTGTCATTTTGCATTATTGACACTATTTTCCTAATTAATGCTGTTCAGTTGCTTTGTCACAATCTGTATTGTTAAAAGCGCTATATAAATAAAGGTGACTTGACTTGACTTGACTTAAACCCAATTGAGCATCTCTGGAGAGACCTAAAAATGGCTGTCCACCAACGTTTACCATCCAACCTGTCAGAACTGGAGAGGATCTGCAAGGAGGAATGGCAGAGGATCCCCAAATCTAGGTGTGAAAAACTTGTTGCATCTTTCCCAAAAAGACTCATGGCTGTATTAGATCAAAAGGGTGCTTCTACTAAATACTGAGCAAAGGGTCTGAATACTTAGGACCATGTGATATCTCAGTTTTTCTTTTTTAATAAATCTGCAAAAATGTCAACAATTCTGTGTTTTTCTGTCAATATGGGGTGCTGTGTGTACATTAATGAGGAAAAAAAATTAACTTAAATGATTTTAGCAAATGGCTGCAATATAACAAAGAGTGAAAAATTTAAGGGGGTCTGAATACTTTCCGTACCCACTGTATATATATATACTGTATACAAACTCACTTAAGAAAATATAAAATATAAAAATTATATATCCAACATAAAACCAAAATAAACACTAAATAAGAAATTTAAGGACAATATTCAAAGACAATATTTCCTAAAATGTAAGTTCATGGACTTTCAAACACATCATGAGAAGAGCAGGCCAAAGACGGAGTACCAATTTCTTACAGTGTTGAAACTGATTCACAAAAAAGCAAAGAGTATGTTGTTGGTTACCAAATTATTGTGATATGCATATCACGAAAATAATTACAATATATAATACAATTATAATAATATACATATAATTCGGCAATCTGCATACCAACTACCACCATTACGAACCCAGGTTAGATAGAATAAGCAAACATAAAGTTAAACTGTGTTCCACTGACATCTGTTGGTCGCACAAAGAAACTGACTGAGAAAGCCTAAAACAATCAAGTTCATCATTTCAAAGTCTTTAAAAAGTTTGCATGCACTTTTAGTGCTGACACACACAAATTTCATATATATATATATATATATATATATACATACAAAGACCCTTAGGATGTTGACAGTTCACTAATCCTCATAACCGGTCTACAGTTCTACCCTATAACAGTGTACTTACCTCATATAATGAGCATACGAATGCGGTGACGTACCTGTTTGATGGGTATGGCCCTTCCACTCCCTATACTGTCAGTTTTACTCTCAATGCTCTTTGTCTGATCACTGGCTTTCCGTGACTGCAAAGAAACAAGACAAGATGTCAGTGCAAAGAACAAACTGGGAACACACATGGAGGTGGGGAGGGTGTGTGTGTGTGTGTTTATGAGTTGTGCCTTAACTCTAGTGTGTGTGTGTGCGTGTGTGAAGTGTAGTGAGTGTTGGTGTGTGTGGTGGGGGACAACATAAAATCGCAAGAAAGAGGCTCAAATAAACGCGCAAGCAGAACAGTGCAAACATACAGCAGCACATTGAACGTGCAGTATATATAGATATATATTTACACAGACCAGGACAGACACACAGAACAAAACGACAACGAAAAATATCAAGTTCGACCCATAACGAAACACAGGAAGGCAGAACTAAACCCCCCAAGAGCTCTTTTGTGATCTTTGGCACCTCCTTGTGGCTTTACCAACCACAGAAGCAAGTCAGTCCAACCACAGTCAGATTCAAGCAATACAAGAACATTAAATGCAGCTTTATATACAAAAGGTTAGCAGAGGAGGAAAAAATAGGGAGTTAATACGGTGCATCTTTTTCTGACAGCCTCCACCTGTTAAAACATCTGATAAACAGGTCAGACAAGAATAATAACAATAAAAAAGATTCAGAATTAGGGTTAGATTGACAAACATTTCCAAACAAAGCAATATCAAGAGAAAGAAATGTTAGTTTATACATCATTTCAGTTCTGGATTTCAAGACGACAAGACAAGATGTCAGTGCAAAGAACAAACTGGGAACACACATGGAGGTGGGGAGGGTGTGTGTGTGTGTGTTTATGAGTTGTGCCTTAACTCTAGTGTGTGTGTGTGCGTGTGTGAAGTGTAGTGAGTGTTGGTGTGTGTGGGGGGGGACAACATAAAATCGCAAGAAAGAGGCTCAAATAAACGCGCAAGCAGAACAGTGCAAACATACAGCAGCACATTGAACGTGCAGTATATATAGATATATATTTACACAGACCAGGACAGACACACAGAACAAAACGACAACGAAAAATATCAAGTTCGACCCATAACGAAACACAGGAAGGCAGAACTAAACCCCCCAAGAGCTCTTTTGTGATCTTTGGCACCTCCTTGTGGCTTTACCAACCACAGAAGCAAGTCAGTCCAACCACAGTCAGATTCAAGCAATACAAGAACATTAAATGCAGCTTTATATACAAAAGGTTAGCAGAGGAGGAAAAAATAGGGAGTTAATACGGTGCATCTTTTTCTGACAGCCTCCACCTGTTAAAACATCTGATAAACAGGTCAGACAAGAATAATAACAATAAAAAAGATTCAGAATTAGGGTTAGATTGACAAACATTTCCAAACAAAGCAATATCAAGAGAAAGAAATGTTAGTTTATACATCATTTCAGTTCTGGATTTCAAAATGGATTTCCTTCATTTTTCAGTAGCTGGAAATGGCATTAGGGAAAGAATAAATGTTAAACAATGAATCCTCTCATACAAAAAGACCCAAAACGCAACATGAATGCTCACTCATACCCGACAGACAACATAATGGCGCTCATTCGCAAATGGAGAGAGAGATAAAGTTTCATGATCGACTCAAATAAACTAGGCTAAAGTGCATTTTTCAACAGTTTATTTTTTCGTTCGGATATATACAGACACCATACAAATCAAGTCACAGGTTTACGTGGAAATAGTCAACAGGCAGAGCCACACATTGCAGTTCCCACAAGAGAGAGTTTGACTAAAGAGGCGCTGTTTCATATATCTCATATATGTATAGAATATACTTTCTATAGAATACCATTGGAAATCAAATTCAATACAAGATATACGGCAGTCTATATTTGTCCATTATTGAATGATATAAAAAAACGAAACAGTGTGCAACGCATGGAACAGTTCATCTTAGCACATCGTCATAAAATAAAAAAATGAATAAGCAAAAACAATCAAACAAAAGAACAAAATAATGGCTCTGGGTCACAAATGCATACTACATTCATACAAGTCGGTGCATTTCCGTCACGCTTCTCTATGTCTATGAAGGCCTTCATATCATTCAGACTTCACACCGAGCGAGGAAACCGCATCCGGGCGTCGCCACGGCAACTGCATCAACTAAACGAGCAGCTTTATAAACGCATCACAACGCAATGTGACGTCTCAGGGCGTCATGTGACATCATGTTAGTTTCACAGTTGAATGGTGGTCAGCACATCGAACAAGAAAGCTATGTCATCCGGAATCACATCTTTTTTATCGTTGAGGGATCCGGCGCTATGCCGACCGTGCAGCATCGGGACCTCGACTAGCATCACATTCCAGTATGACGTGGTTCACAAAGCCGCGGTCTTGTTAATAAAGATGAAACGGAGACACGGGGTGCGGTTCGTGGCATTCCGTGTGAAGTCTGACTAGCTAAACTAACCCATCAGAACTCAAAGGAAAGACAATAAATAGGAAAATAAATAGGAGAAACAGAGAAAATCTTGGCAAAGTGTTTGGAATTACCGCAAAAGCAATTTTGGGTGTTGTTGATGGCTATTGTCCGGGTTGGTGAACATTTAGCAATAAAATGACTGATTATGATTCAGTTCAGTGTGTTCAGGTAACGCAAGTTCGAAATCTGTCTTTTTCTGTCCAACCAAATGTCCTTTAAACTCAACCATGGCTGCCAAGGGGCAAGTGTCCAAGAAAGCCATGGTGATACCCACGATGCAATGCAGGTTATTAGGGGGAATAAAGCAGCGCTTGTTTGCTCCTCCTCATTGAGGACCCCCTCCCATAATGCATTGCGGTCGTACCACCACCACCAAGGGCTCGTCTAATTGAGGAGAAGCTGGAAAGCCCTTTTAGTTGAAGAAAGGTTGGAAACAGAAGAACAAATCTGGAAATATCGACAAAAACAGTTCAACACTTTGGTCACGGGAAGAGTGGACAGAAAGGGTTTAAGGGGGGGGAAGCAATGGATCGCAAAAATGCGTAGACATCTACACTGGAGATGATGGCGGATGTAGTATGATTATTGGCTTTTTACAGGGCAAAATAGTGATGTGTCGAGAAATAATAAAATAATATAAACCCCTTCCCTCTTCCTGTTCTCTCACAGAATGGAAAATCATGGACAGACGCCACATTAGACCAATGACAAAAATATTTGAATGGTCGTTTTAAGTATCATGGAAGCACTGTGCTTGGTTTCCTGTCCTCTGCTGACATCTAGTGGCAAAGACACACACTTATGAAATGATATTCATGAGAGAATGTTATGAATTATGAGGTGACAGGAAATATTACTAAATCGGCAAACTGTTCTTTTTATATTATTCAATAATTACATGAGCTTTAGTCTTTCATTAAATAAAAAAAAAAAAGTAATTATTTTTTATAACATTTTTAACAAAATATTTAATTATGGCTTTCTTTAAAATGTAAATATTTTATTTTTATTTAGTGTGGAGCAAACTTAGTTGTTACCGATTGCAATCAAAAAATCTTACATTTTTCATTCAGTCTTAATTTATTAGCACTGGCATTTATATATATATATAATTTTTTCTTTCTTTCTTTGTTGGTGACTGTCCAAATGCTATCCTTTACTCTACTAGTGGTAACAAATTTACTCTTTCACTATGACCCAAAAGACTATGATTATAAGGCCACTCTTGACTTGGAACAATAAAATTATATCTAACATAAATTATATGTATATGACTTTGAAAAAAGCTGCCGAAAACTCAGCATAGCAAACACAAAACAAAGGCTTTCCTCATTTTTCACATGCTATTTCTAAAAATTTAGCTCGGAGTGGCTATTAGATCCAATTGCCAATAAGATGACCGGTTAGAGAAGTCGTCGAAAGGGGAAATTAGTAACCAATCCAGATCTCCCAGCCGTCTTCGGAATGTCGTAGAGAGGCTGCGTGGCCCCTCCCTCCTTGGTCTGGCTCCTCCCACTCCCCATCCCAGCCCTCACCCCCCTGTTCCCGCCCACACCGTAAGTCCGGCTCCTCAGAAGGTCATGAGTTGAAACTCTCGTTCGCTCTGCCACTCGGACACCCAGACGGGGTAGGTGGCGTGCTTCGGCTCCGTTACGCGCACCGGCAGAGCGTGGTGTCTCGTGTGGACGGGGTTAGACACGACCTAGCAGGGAGGGAGGGAGAAACAGGACAGGGGACGCTAGCACAAGAGCCGCCACAGCTGCAGCCAATCACCTTGTGGGATCCTTCTGATTGGAGGAGACTTTGGGGGGGGGGGGATTGGCTGAATGGACAAAGGTGGATCTTGATTGGTTAGATTGGAGATGGTGGTGTTGCTAGAACAGTGTGTGTGGCTCTGCCTCTCTCTCTGTCTGGCTCCAGCAGAAAGACACGCTAGGTGAATGTCTGTTAAAGAAGAGAAGGGGGCGGGGCTTGCTAGGGAATTTTGCTGATTTACACAGTGAAATTAGGAAGGGCACAGGGAAAACATCAATATCGGGGAGGGCAGGTATTTAAATCCAGAGAAGATAAAAAGCTAAGTTCCCTTGGTGTAAAGCTTTTAAATTTACAGTGTATATAAAGGACGAGGCAAATCAAAATGGCGGAAATAATAGCATAAATCGAAGCGTCTTTCCTTGTCCTAAACATCTCTCGTCATTTTAATGTTTGCCTCCCTGCGTTTACTGTAATATGTAGCTATAAAAAGCATGTGGTCATGCGCTTCTGTGGTAGCAGAGGCAGGAGGGATTCGGTTACACTTAGCTCCGTACCTCCCTCTTGTGGTCAGAGATGGCATTACGCTCTCTGGCTTTGCCCTCCACTGCCCTGGGTTTGAGGGGAAGGGGGTGATGAGACCTAAGGGCAGATCCACTCACTGCAGACCGACAGACGATAGACAGACAGACAGATAAATAGATAGACAGATAGATAGATATAGATAGACAGACAGACAGACAGACAGACAGACAGACAGACAGACAGACAGATAGATAGATAGATAGATAGATAGATAGATAGATAGATAGATAGATAGATAGATAGATAGATAGATAGATAGAAAATTTGGGGAAAAGCAATTAAGAATAGGAAAGGAGCAAGAGAGATGCAGTAAACAAAATTATCAGCATGATTTTCTGGTTTTTGACAGGCAGCACAATTTTTATAGTTTATTATAGTTCATAAAGGCCTATTCTTCCATCCCAATTCTCATACTTGTACTATGCATATGAATATGATAGTAGGAAAGTACATGTATGTGCAGTAAGATGTCATAAAATTGTGTCCTGATACCACATATGCCTTTGTTGCATTAAATATCATAGCTACTACAATTATTGTTACTGTTGTAAAAACTATAAATTAATATTTCTGTAATTGTATTTAATTTATTTGTGATGACAGTTTTTTAAAGTAAAAATAATAATTAACAATTTTTGTGGAAAATATGGTTACCATGGTAAATTTTCAGAACTGAAATATGTGCCTTCTTAATAACAACTAGCCAATTGTGATTCACTTTGCGGTTTGCATGCTAGCTGCTTCAGGACAGGTGTTTGGCTGACTGAGGCTGATCCTAGATCAGCACAAATGCACCAGACTCACCTGATTGATGTGTACAGAGGGGATGGACGCGGACGGAACTGACGAGTGGCTGGGAGAGTTGGGCAGAGATTTACACGGACCAATCGAAAGCTGCTGCTTTTTCCTCAGCGCCACCACTTTCTGAGCAACTGCAATCACACATCATAAATATTACAACTATGAAATCAATGCATTAAATAGATTAAAAGACAATAAAGACATTTATAATTTCTGTTTCAAACAAATACTGTTCTTCATGTTTTCTAAAAAAAAAAAAATAGAAAGGGAAAAAGAAACAAAAAAGAATCAGCATATCACAATGATTTCTCAAGGACACTGAAGACGGGAGTAATGATGCTGAAAATTCAACTTTGCATCACCGGAATAAATTACATTTTAAAATATTTTCAAATAGAAAACAGTCAATTTAAATTGTAATAATATTTCACAATTTTACTGTATTTTTGATCAAGCATCAAGATCAAGAGAAAAAAAAACCTCTCATCAAACTTTTGAATGATAGGGTAAAGTATGCAAGTATTTGTCCACCTCTTGTACACTGAATAAAAATGTATGAACAGTAGGGATGTTCATTTCGGTTATTTTTCCTAACCGATGCTCATTAACTGATTGTTAACCGTTAACCGACAAGATTATTTTAAATTAGAGAAAAAAGTAACATCATGTACTCACGAGCGAGACTATGGGTGCTCCAGAGAGGGAACAAAATGTCAAAAACAAAAAGTGGATCCCATTGCAAGAAACAAAAATAATCCACGTCTAGGCACTCACATAGCAGGCAAAATATAAAAGGATTATTTTCGTTTCTTGCAATGGGATCCACTTTTTGTTTTTGATATTTTAAATTAGAATGGAATTAAATTAGAAAGGACAAGTGTCTGTGACTCGTTAAAAAACACTAACATTTGTTTTCCGGGGATTGTTTTTAGCCTAGTATGCAGAGTTTCGGTTCATTTTTGTGCTGCGCGAAAGAAAACAGAGCAGAAAGCAGCATCCTATTTTCTTTAGGCTTATTTTACAAAAGCACAAAGATTTGTTTTTATTGTGAATGTACACAAATAAAGGCAAACCTTTTACAATTCCGATTATCTTTAGGACTAAAATGAGTAGTTTCTTCCACTGTTAGAAGGAAAAAACTCAAGTGATTGCGCCGGTGCTACCTTGACAATGCAGCCTGTTCATTATCATAATAAAATACAGTCAGTCAAATATATGGAAAAAAAACTATGTAGTTTAAATTTTTTTTTAGTAAAATCTGTGTCGTTAAGTGTTATCACCGCACCACCGTGATGTTATGCTAAACATTTTTGTTTTATGTGGATATTGGAACGCGAGTGAAGTAGGCTACATAACAAATAATAATTTGCCATTCAAATACATCGCGAATACGGAAACATTTGATTTTGTGTGGAATGAGAGACCCAACGTTAGTTTCAGTTTTGTTTTAGCCTAAATTAATTAGTTTTGGCTTGTCGTTTATATTGCTATAGCTTCTTATATTTTTAATTCTTGTTCTTTTCTAAATACTGTTAATTGAAAGGATTTGTTGTGGAGTGAGGGGAACTAACACTAGCTATGTTTACAGTGTTTATTATAATGTTTGTCAACATTCCGCATCAGCATTAGGCCTATTTCTGAATGAAACAATAAAATGCGACTTATACGCGATATGTTTTTCCCCCCTAAAAAACTATTTTTTTTATACGCGTAGCATAGGCCTATTTTAACCATGCAGCAAACCTTTTTAAATATTTTGATAAATTACTGAAAAAATAAATAATTTAATGACTTTTGTTTAACTGATTGTATTAATCGGTCAAAATTCTTACGCTCGGTTAACCGGTTAAAATAAACAGTGTATATTAGTATGACTTTAAATATAAAATATAAAATTTGAGTTCAAAAAATATTAAATTAAAATATTTAATATATATAAATATATATATATTTTTTTATTTTATTTTAAGAAATACTATCAAACATGTTTATGTAAAAAAATTGTAAAAAATAAATGCATTTTAACGTGTTTCGCACAGCTAGTCTAGATACTAGCTGTTTTTATTGTTTTAGTCCTGCATATGACCATCTATTCTTATGGGAACAATTAATAATTCAGCTGTCTTTTAATAACCTATAACGTCTTTCAAAGCCCCTGATTTGCAGTAAATGTGACTACAAGCATAAACAAGACTACAAAGTAATTTATTTGCAACCATAATTCATAAATGGCAATAAATTTATGACATTGAGTGCTTATTATTTTAGTAGGGAGATGTTCAAAACTTATGTACAGTATGTTACAATTTTTCAGTCCTAATGACGCACATAAGGTTTCTTCCCCAGCTGTGAAATGTTTTTGTGCAGATTTACTGCATGAAACTGGAAACCCTGGAGACTTAGCGTGAGCCTACAGCCATTTAACAAGTGACTCAACGTTATTCACTTTTACTTTTCGCAAAAACAAAGTAACAGAGAAAGAACGAGCTGCACACAAGTGAAAGAACCGGCAAAGTCGAGATGATGTTGATCCGTCTGCGTTTTCAAAGAGTCGAACAGCTCACCGTCTCCAGACAACAGGCGCATCTCTATCTTTTCATTATTTCAAATGCAGCCCGAGGAGGCAATTACACGCAAGAGAAAACAGCAACCGTCAACACCCCAGCAATAAAGGCAGGGACGAGAGAAATCCATCCTGACAACTATGATATTGGAGAGCGTGGAGGAAACTGCAACACTGCGGAGCAATAAAGCTGCTGGAATTATCGCAGCCCCTGCAACCGCGGGAGGAAGTCTCACACGGATATATAGAGCAGCGATACCAGATTACTGCACGAATGCTTGATAAATACTTATGTAATATGTATTTCTAGGTGTTGTGAAACCACTCTACCTCGAGCAGGAGGCTAGAGGGACACAAAAGAGATGTGTGGGCAGATTTCTGTAGCTTACTCTGCGATACATTCATGCCACATGACGACAGTGGGCGGAAGAGAGCGCTATCAGTGAACTCAGAGTGGCTCTGATATTCCAGCTGGTTTTCAGGATCGTTCGTAATAAATGCACTAACCACTAGCGATGGAAAAACACAGCTCTTTGTTAGATGAGGAGATAAAAGCAGGATCCAGAACGTCAGATGCATTCAGAATGTCTCACAGCCATCCTTAAAATCTGCTGTATGTACATAATATAATACAGTAAACTAATAACATAATAATAAATAAATACCCCCTTCACGGTCATACCTTTAAAGATTAATACATTAAAATACATGATCAATACCAAACTTCACAGATTGATTACTATTGTTGTTTTATGATGATGCCAACCAGCATGCAATGAATGTTTTAACTGATATGTAATTATTGCTTTTTTTACATAAAAATAATCATTAGACTACAACAATAAAGCATAACATGCTTTACGAACATTATAATAGTATTATTATTATTATATTAACAACAACAATGATAATTATTGTTACTGGAAATGAATTTTTGTTTATTAAAAAGTTGTGGTGTCTAAATAATAATAACAATAACCACAATAATAATGATTATTATTACTGTTTTTTAGTGCTGTGTTCGATACATCGATACGACAATGTATCGTCAGAGATTTGATGATACGAGTATCGATAGAGCGGTCTCTGTATCAATATTGCGGCACGTGTGCAGCAGTGGACCGCACAAGAACACTGTTTAAAAAAGGAGTAGAAAAGTGCGAGGTTTCTAAAAAATAATGAATAGAGCATAATATATAGGCTACAACCAGGTTTAATCTGGCCGCAGAGGAACACAACTGGGGTTGCCTGATATAAAGAGACTTAATCCCCGAAACAGAGCTTCCTGCGTGATACGAATTGTATCATGATGTTTTCCTACTGTTTTTGTATTGTTGCCTACAGCAATAATAATAATAATAATAATAATTATAATCATCATCATTATTGTTTCATTATGTTTATACAGTGCAAATGAAAATTTATTTTTGCTTATTAAAAAGTTTTAATCTGTGTCTAACTAATAATAATAATAAAAATAATAATAATAATAATTTATTATTATTACTTATATTAACAACAACAACATTGATCATGAGAATTATTGCTATTGGAAATTAATTTTTGCTTATTAAAAAGTTTTAGTCTGTCTAAATAATAATAACAACAATAATTATTATTATTTTTGTTGTTAATATAATAATAATAATAATAATAATTTCCTTGTTATTATTAATGTTGTTTTCATTATGTTTACAGCGTAAATGAAAATCAATTTGTTTATTATTATTATTATTATATTAACAACAACAATAATAATTATTATTACTGGAAATTCATTTTTGTTTATTAAAATGTTTTTGTGTCTAAATAATAATAACAATAACAACAACAATACTAATTATTATTACTGTTTTTGTTGTTAATACAATAATAAATATAACAACAGCAATAAAAATAATAATTAATAATAATCATCATCATTATTGTTATTATTATTATTTTCATTACGTTTATACAGTGTAAATGAAAATTGATTTTTGCTTATTAAAAAGTTTTAGCCTGTGTCTAACTAATAATAATAATAATAATGATAATAATAATAATTTCCTTATTATTATTGTTGTTTTCATTATGTTTACAGTGTAAATGAAAATCAATTTGTTTATTATTATTATTATTGTAAATATATTAACAACAAAAACAACACCAATAACAATAATAATAAAATGGAAAGTCATTCATAAAAAAAGTCATATTAATAAATGGAATAAATTGATAAAATTCCACTGGCTTGGATGGGTTAGATTTGTTGTTCTAAAAACATTCTTACAAGCTTTTCACAAAAATACCTTTAGAATTATTAATACTTAAATATAAAATCACATAAAATATTACCAAAAATTATCAGGAACAACAAGGTACTTCGGTCCAATACTGATCCATTTTTATATATAAAAGACAAGCTATGTACTTCATTTACATGAAGAACAGAGAATATTAACTGCAAACCAGGTTAGTAGACTCACACCTGAGGATAAACACTTAAGTGTTCAGAGACACTGGTTAACACATCTGGCATCTCACCATCTTGAAAGACTCTCTCGACGTTAAGCCCATAGGTGGAGCAGGTTTCGTAATATGTGGAGCGTTTCAGGTCGTTGGACAGTTTTCGAGCCCGGGCGTCATCTATCACTCTTGGGTTGGCAGCGCTGATGGCATCTAGAAATCATATGATGGGATAAGACAAAGCATATTCATTTTTGGGTGTACTATTCCTTTAAACTCCCTCTTCGACACACATAATGACAGTACAGCATCTACATGCTCATAATTGTTAATTATGTGTCTCATCAAAGTGCAATTTGCAAACAAGTACTGGGCAAATGTGTAAGAAAGAGTCTGTCAGCTCACTGCAGATGAGACTTCATATCCTGCTGCTTTGTTAAAGCAAGACGAATGTACGAATGGTTTCGTCACCTTTAGACTATGACTAAATGCGAGACTTTCATGGAGGATTTAATAAAAACAAGTGCACATCAAATTTAAGGCATCCTGTGTTCTACTGTAGAAGAATAATAGAGTCAGTGACGGTGTTATGACTCACCCTGCGTCCCCACCAGCACCATGGGAACCTCTGCCGTGTTCCTGTAGCTGGAAAGGCGCAGGAAGTAGTTATAAACTGTCTGGAAGCTGATCTCATCCTCCAAGCTGAAGACGAACACCACCGCGTCCACCCAGGCAGCAAACTGAAACACGACAACAAAACCGTAGCAATCTCAGCATTTTTAAAATAACACCTTTTGATTTAGCTATCAGATTTAGCTTTTTTAAACAATATATTATATTATATTAATATTTTGAATCAGTTTTTATCATTTCGTTTTTTTCATCGTAATTTTGGTTACAGTTTTAGCAATTTTGTGTATTTATTTATTAGTATTTATAAAAAGAAATCTAGGGTTAGTAGGCTTTTTATTCTGAAAGAAATGAATACTTTTATTCAACAGGCTTACATTGCAAAATGTATATTATAAAAATATAAATATATTTCCAATAAATAAAAGAAACTTCTTTAGTAAAACAAACACACACACACATACTGTATATATATATATATATATATATATATATACACACACATACACACACACTTATGCACATATATGCACATACACAGCATTATTTTAGTATCAACTTTAGTATTTCTGTATTATTTTTGTATCACTGAAAGACACTATTGCAGTTTTGTTAATATTTTTAATAGGTTTTTATTTTTATATTTTCCATTTTCATTTTAGCAATTTTTTTTTTTTCATTTTTAGAAGATTATTTATTATTAGAAGTTTATTTGTTTATTTTAGTTTCTGTATATTTTCCATGTTCATTTTAGTTCAAATTTGAGCACTTTTGTTTTGAGTTTTTTTTCTTAATTTTTTGAAGGTTTTGTTTTTATATTTATATTTTATTTATTTTATTTTATTTATTTTTGTTAGTTTAGTACATCAAGATAAACTAAATTATGCCCTGGTAACTAGTAAAATATTTTTTTAAGTATATTATTTAATTTCATTTAATGTTTATTTTATATAAAAAAAATAATACTTGTAAAATATTTGTTTTAATTTAGTTTCTGTTAAATATAATAAGCCTCTCCATCTATCTATCTGAACAGCTACTGAGCCGATGAACCATGTTATATGCTAGTTATGTTTTGTAGTGTAGGCAGGTACATTTCAGTCATTTTAAGCGATTTTACTGAAGCCCTACGTGTGAGTTATTCCTCTATTTGTTTTCCATTTCCTGCAGGAGAATAATTCTAATCATGGATAAATTACACGACCAGTAACTTGAATTGTTTCTGAGCCTTGAGACACACTCATTGATGTCTGCTTGAAATTTGAAGGGCCACATTACAAATTCTTGTGGTAATTTGCATTCTAATCAATTACGCATTACCATAAAACCAGCTAAACGGAACACAGACTAACAGAGAATAATTATCGCCGCTATTCCACCAGGAGCTACACTGGCAGAAAAGTTTCACTCGAAATCCCCATTCCCACAACACAGGAAGCCAGTCCTCATCCACGGCTGAAAGCTGCCGTGAGAACCATCAGACTATAATTACACTGAGCCGCAGCAAAATGTGAAAATAGGGCCACCCTGAAATGGGCCCCACGGGGCAAGTACAGAGGTTCATCTTGACACGGCCCCGCGTCCCGCTCTATGCTGGGGGAATGAGGACTGGGAGACACATTTGTGGAATATTTTAGCAGCTATTTGGACAGTTCTCTGCTTTTCTCAACTTGTGAAAAATCTCACTTTCTCGGATATCATTAATTATTGTAGCGCCGCGTCAGCATGCAGCCCTGGAGTTGCAAATTGAACAAGATAATTAAGGTGTTTGGGGTATTACTAGTACTTTACATGGAAATATCTAAACAGTTTTTTATCCACAAACTCTTCAGTTAGACGTCCTTACATGACCCAAAACGACTTGATTTGTTGGAGCACAAATGGAGATATTTTCAAGAATGTTTATGCTGCTCTTTTCCATACAATGAAAGCATACAATGACCAATTTCCCCTACTTTTACAATTAGTTTACCTTTGCTGTCATCTAATACTTCCTTTAATCTATAAAAACACTACAAATGTAAGTATACTGTTAAATGTAATCTTTAGCAAATCTCATAATGAACATCCATTTTTATACTGCACATTATGCATTATTATCAGTATATCATATTTTAATTGTGAAATCATTCCTTCTCTATAATACAAGTCATGATGAACACATGTACGGTGCTTTTTCACCCTTTTTTGGACCTCAATAGCCACTGGTCACTATATACTTTGTTGTACAATCAATTTTCTATGGAAAAGAGCAGCATGAACATTCTGCATAATATCTCCTTTTGTGTTTCACGGAAGAAAAAACTTTACACTTGTTGGCACACACGTCTTGGCATCTAGCTGAAATAAAAAGCTTTATACACAGTATGTAATATATATTAGTATATTTATTTCAGTTAACGTTTATTTTATTTCAAGTAACATTTTTTATGGTTTAAATTTTAGTTTTGGTTAACTATAATAACTCTGCTGATTTCATATTGAACTTGTGGCTTACCTGCATTTCTGGCGGGCCGCCTTCATCCCTGATCAGCAAGAGATAACTCTGTCCATCCACCACAATCTCCTTTTTAAACCTCCCTCCTGCAAGAACACAGAATAACATTAATTATACTGTTTCTACAACACGGTCGTCTCTAAAGCTCATTTACCAGCAGGCAGTGTGCCGCTGACGTCAACACCATCAAGATTAAGGGACTGAAGATACACCCCTGAGGAACCCCCTCTAGCCCCGTCAATCTGATCGCACAAACATTTCCCATTTTCAGCTTACGCATACCTTCTGGCAGTTGTGAAGTGTTGGACAAGGGATGGAGAAAGAGAGAGAAAGAGCAAATGAGTTAGTGAGCGTGTAAATGAGTGTTTGGGATGAATGTGTTTGCATGTCTAAACATGACTAATGATTAAACCCAGCAGAGCGCCGCCCATCGCTCCTGCTTCATTATACAGCACATGCAAACATGGGAATCTCTGCTAACACACTGATAAAAAATAAATATCAGCCAACATATGAAATTAGGCAAGCCGAAATCTGAGTTATTTCGACACCAGCAGCGAGATGAGAGTCTGAGACTTTGATTTTTCACCCTTCATTTATTCCCTTCTCAACAGATGTGTTTTTTTCCTTCCTCGCAGCCGCTGGCGCTGAAAGCTGATGGAACTTTGATGCCATTGAGATTCTCTCAAATTAAATTGCACTTTTTTATAGTAGGAAACTTTGTGGAGCCGAATGAAACTTGCCTTACGGTAATCTTCTAGGAGGACAAAAGAGGAAGGGTGAGATCTTCACAGATTATGACAGGTGAAGGAGGCAAGGCAATGTGTAGAATATATGAACAGCCTGGAGAGGAAAGGGCTCGATTTGGTTGAACTTCACCTGAAAGTGTTAGGAATTTAAATAAGGAGTCATTGAAAGGCACAGAATGGTACAGTGTAGGGATGTGCATCTCATGACTCAAGCCGATACGATACACATCTCGATGCATAGCCAACGATACGATACATTAAAGATACATATGAAGCAGCTACCGATGCGATGCGATACGATTCACCCCTATTACGTTGAAGTGCGATCCGATTTCGATTCGATTCAACACAATGCGATTCGATGCAATATGATACAATGGAGAAAATATGATCACATTTAGTGTCTCGAGGCCAGTTTCATAAAACAAGTTAACTAAATAAGCCAGGCTTATTTCAGTTAGTCTGACTCATTGTCAAATGATTTGGTTTGATGGTTAACTATAATAACTCTGCTGATTTCATATTGAACTTGTGGCTTACCTGCAGTTCTGGCGGGCCGCCTTCATCCCTGATCAGCAAGAGATAACTCACAGTAACTTACAATTACTGCTATCATAAAAATACACTTTATGTGTAGGTTTAAAATTCTACAAAAGACACATTTAATGTCCAAAAACAATTTCTTTTAGCAAAATGTATATTTTATGTATATGAATTATTGCGCTCCTATTCGATTGCGCTCCGTCTGTTTTAGCGTGCATGCCTCTCTCTTGCGTGCCTCGCCCACTCCTGACAGCAAAATGGACATGTTTGCATGACTTTATAACATTTACAAATGAAAAATATACCTGTGACATGTCAGTTATGCACTGAGGAAAACACAACGTCTCAAATGCATTAAACAGCACAGATATATTCGCTGTTAGCAATGGTGGATCGATTTGATCCATGATCGACATTAAGAGCTGCTTAAGAATAAGCGTGCACAAATTAGTGAGATTGTGTAAATTTAATTTGTCGTTAATGGAATGGCTTAATGCCCCGATTGATTTGTTAGGTTATTTCAAGTCAGGTTTTGGACTTTAATCCCAGTTTTTCCTCGGTCTCCGTGGTGTTGTGATGCATCATATTCACTCAGCAGCAGCGGTGATGAGAGAGCGCGCTTGAGAAACAGTTCAGAGAGGAGAAATCAATCTACATATAAAATATTGGTCACAGATTACTGGTCACTTTCTAAATAATAAAAGTATAGCGCATCTATTAGTAATTATATATAAATAAATCGTTTTTTACCGATGCAAATATGTTTGAAACGATGCATCGCGATATAAATGACAACTTGTAGTCGATGCACACTTTTAAACCGATGCATCGCATCGTTAACTTTTTATGCCGTTGCACAGAGCGAATCGGTGAATCTTCCCATCCTTAATACAGTGGCATGGTACAGAAATTATGTAACAATGTTAGCTGACACAGAAATTATGTAACAATGTTAGCTGACAGAATGAAAATAAGTAATGTGAAATATGAAAAAAATTAAGTAATATAAAATTGAAATATAAAAAATGTATTTAATAGAAGTATATAATAAATTATGTATAATATTGAAACAATAAATTACTGTAATTAACAATTTCTATTTATATAAATAAATGAATTCTAAATTACTAATTCAAAACTAATTTTATTTTACAGTAAGAAATATAATAAAATATAAACAATTATAAACTACAGTGGGTACGGAAAGTATTCAGACCCCCTTAAATTTTTCACTCTTTGTTATATTGCAGCCATTTGCTAAAATCATTTAAGTTAATTTTTTTCCTCATTAATGTGTGTGTGTGTGTGTATATATATATATATATATATATATAAAAAAAATGTTATAATAGTTTGTTAATATATATAAATATTTAAATAAAATAGTAAATTATTAATACATAAAACCACTATTTTTAAAATTGAATAATAATTGATATAGAAAAAATATTGATATACACACACACACAATTATTTTTAAATCAATACATTTTTAAATGCAAATATCCTTTTAATAATTCAATCTTTTCAATCAATTAAAGCATTAAATATATAAGCAATAAACACAACATAGACTGAGGTACTTTGATTATGTGAACACTGTTCATGAGGGGACTATATTGTGCAAAATGCAATGAACCTAACATGACCTAACATTTCCAGTGTGATGAATAAACATGAAGCGACTGGAGTGACTATTTTGCAACAAGTTTTGATTCATTATTTGATCTGACTGCCAAAAATGTAAGATAAAAGGTATTACACAAAATCAAATAAAAAATGCAGAGCAATTAGAGCTGGACACCCTTGACATGCAACGTGATGAGAAAATGTGACAATGTAGCATAATGCATACTATTTCACTATAAAAAAATAGTCAGCATTCAGTTCAGTTCGTTCAGTGCATGACCTCCCTTTATTTTATCTCTACTTTGTTGGGAATTGGGAAATGCATGATGGAGCTTTTGACACTTCTGATCACCTCCTAGGACTGGATAAATATAATGATTGAATGCTTGTTGCACAGTGTACGACTGAAACCTGTGAAAGTTCATACCACATATCAAATCCTTACAAGTTCAGTGACCCCTGGAGTAAATTGGCATTAAGAGGTTCACCGAGGGCACTGAAGTACAGCCCGATGGAGCAGTGAGGGACATTAATAACAGCAGAACGAAACACAACATGACCCTACATTGAGATTTCAACCAGTGATCTCACATCGACTGAGAGAGATATTATCCATAAAGCCATTATGCCAAGAACACTAAACTTTTAATTAGTTCACCTATGTCCATAGCTATTTTTATTTCGTCAATGCTTCCCTTGAGCTTAAAAACAAAAAAAGTGTTGAATTTCAGCATAGTTTTTGCTCTAACAGGAGAAATTGAACAATATGTTCATATTAGCCAATGTGAATACACCTGCAAGCCTGCAACCTGATATTTATTGTCTACAATATTGTAACTGCTGTTTTAACAATATGCAAACTTACATTATCAAGTGTCACTCACTTTGCAAAAAACAAACTAAAACACATCTTGAGAGGCCCAAAGCGTTCACTGCATGAAGCCTATTAGAATGCAATTCGAATGACCCTATAATTCAAGTTCTGAGAGCAAAAATATCCTTGTATTTTTTTTATAGTTATAAGATATGATAATAGTTAAAGGGATAGTTCACCCAAAAATGAATATTACCCCATGATTTACTCACCCTCAAGCCATGCTAGGTGTATATGACTTTTTTGTTATTTTGACATTTTTTTATATAACTCCAATTGTATTTGTCTGAAAGAAGAAAGTCATATACACCTAGAATGGCTTGAGGAAGAGCCAAGGAAAATAATGTTTAAAACTTGTGCGACCTTTTGGACATTTTCGTCCTTTTCAGTTTTGTTTTTTTGATCATTTTGACTGTGTTATTGCCAACTGCATACATTTTGGCACAGGTGTGTATTTTTATTGGAATTGTACTATTTCACTTCCATTTCCTTTAATAAATCTGTTTTGCACTAGGTACAAAAAATTGTTCCTCTCAGGACCTTAAGGACAAAAATGTCCCCGTTGAAACCCATTAAAACTGCTATTTCTAATCGCAGTGCCATTTAACTAAAATCATGCAATTTTTGTTGATAGGCTTTCATTATATTGGCAAGGCTTTAAAATTAAATTTTTTACCAGATGGTGCCATTTTTTCAGGTTTGACCTATAAAGAAAATACTTGCTTTATTTCTGTTTTCTGCTTCTGCATATTATAGAGCCAATTGGATAAATAATGCAGCTATAATTGTGTGGGTGTGTTGGTGTGGATGTCAGAGTGTGGTTTGTATGCGTGTCATAAAAAAAAAAGTGTGTGTGTGTGCATGTGTGTTCTTGTAATATTTGAGAGAGAAAAACTCTACTGCAAATCACAAATCCAACCACTGTGTGCACCAGCAGAGTTTTGCTGACATCTAATGGGGAAAATTTGGTACTGCGCCCAAACAAAATCTTACTGAAAGCTCATTTTTTGAGATATCAACCTCAAATTTGGAATACAAGTTGTTTAGATTTATGGCTTTGATTTTCTAGAAGGTATAGAGTTCAACATGTTTCATAAAATATATATTTTATATAAAACATTTTTCATAAATCATTTTTTTTTATTATTACAGTTTTTTGACACGGACATTTTTGTCCACTATGGACCTATGTGTAACTTTTTTAAACTGACGCACAAGGGTTAATTATCGTTAGCAAAAATAAATAAATCTTGTCAATAACGCACATTCCTACTGCAAAAAATAATTGATTTACTAAAGAAAATGCAAGTGATGCTTGCATGCAAAACAGACTGAGATTGGTCTGAAAATCACTTCATTCCAAAAGATTTGAGGAATCAACTAGTTCAAATCTCTAACTCTAAAATAAGAGCAATAATTCTTGCATTAAGAGGCACCACTAAAAATGGTTGTTTAACTGAAAAGAATTGAATTTAACAGCTTTTTTCAAGTGCATTCACTGAAGCTTTTAAAGTAGGAGATAATTGCATTGGAGCCAGTAAGGGCATGTCTGAACATGTCAAGATAGGACAAAACAAAAATCCCTTCAGCAAAGTTTCCTGTTCATTCTGACGTTTGGCAGAAAGCCGTGCAAAATGGATGTTTTTCAGCTCTCAGTTTTTGCTGCAAAGGCTAAAAAGAAAATGACTAAGGTACCGAGTCTTACTGTCGCCGGCAGAGGTGTATGAGACTTTTCGCGACGCTTTTGAAATTCAGCCCTGGTTTGGGTCTTCAGGAATCCGTCGTTCTGATTCTAATCTCTAATTTACATTTCAGAGGGGCAGCTGGTGCCAAGAGGGCATACACATTTAATCTCTCCGCCGTCACTCAAAAGTAAACGCCGAGGATTGATGACACGCTTGGCGGCGGCAGGCCAGGCTGCCTGACCCTCTGTTGCCATGGCAACAACGGAGTAATCGTAGAGGCGGAGCATCAGCGTGGAACTAAGAGCTGCATCTGTGCAGGAGTCAATGACAGATTACAAATTAAGGTCAATTTCAATCAAGAGTCTGGGAATGTCTGCAAACGCTTCATGCAGTGGGAATCACAGCTGCATTAATCACTCGTTTAATGCAATTGCTTTTCTGCCAAATATGAGTATAACAATACTATATCAGACTAAACAAGAAAGAGTCTGAGTAAATGTCTTCATTACTTGCATAGTCTATGGATATGATATTGTGTTAAAACCATGGCTTTTTGGAGATCTGTACTATCATGGTATTCTTTGAGATTGGTCTATAGTGTATAAATATAGTAATAATTCAGTGGTTAATAATAAAATGGTGGAAGTTTTTTAAAGAAATTAATACTTTTATTTGCAAGGATGCATTAAATTGATCAAAAGTGACAGTAAAGACATGTATAACGTTTACATTTTTTTGTTTTGTTTATATTATAAATTTTTTTTTTTACAAAAACATCCTGAAAAAAGTGTCAGTTTCCATTAAATAAAAAAGAAAAGAAAATAATGCAGCACAACTGTTTTAACACTGATAATAACAATAATCAGAAACGTTTCTTGAGCAGTAAATCAGCATATTAAAATGATACAGCACATGGAAACATGGAGTACTGATGCTTAAAATTCAGCTTAGCATCACAGGAATAAACTACATTTGAAAAATTATTCAAATAGAAAACAGTTGTACTTATGAAAATTATAACTATATTTCAAAATACTACTGCTTTACTGTATTTTGATCCCAAAAATGTTGCATTGGTGAGCATTAGAGATTTCTTTCAAAAATATTAAGAAATTTGAGCAACCCCAAGCTTTTAAACGGTAGTGTATCTTTTATAAACCCATTGCTTTATCACTGGATACCATGGTACCATCATAGTATTTTTCTAAGAGACGTCAAAGCACAAGGCTTTATTACAATAAAAACGACAGGCATTCATTTTTAATAATAAATGAATATAATCAATAAAAATAACTTGTGGCAGAGCTTCTGTTCTCTAATGCATGGTTCCTGAATTTTGTAGTATTTTCTATTATAGAAGAACAAGTATCTTTTAGCGTGGTTTCTGAAGTTCAGTACTCAGGTGCGTGTTAACACCAATCTCACAATCCCACAGCGATTCATTGATTTTCATTTTTCTCACTGCATTAGAAATGAGCATTATTCCACATCGACGCCACAGTTCAGTCAGAGAGAAGCAGAGAATCTGACTGAATGAGACTGAACTGTGAAAGCCGAATTCAAAACAAGTCACAACAGGCTCCTGAGCGTCTTCTTCCTTCATGAGAAACACAATGTGCATACAGGCATCCAACAAAACCCACTGGGCCAGAATACTCAACATTTCACCTCATTTAAAGCAATGCGGCTATTGTTCACCATGTTCCGGGTTCAATGCCAGCTTAAATATATTGTCAACATTTAAAAATTATTTATACTCTCTCTCAGTAAAACAATACATTTTTATTCTTAATTTACAATATTGTCTCATTTACAATAATGCAGACACAATGTACCGCTAGAATTTTGGCTAAAGCAGTCAATTCTGTCTTTTCAAATACAAAAATTAGTATTTTATGAGCTAAAAACGGTCTAAAAAAGCATCCCCTTAGCAGTGGAATTACTCGTTATGCATTGCAGATGTAATTTTCTTTACATAAAATCATTACAAATACATGAAATCCTTTAGTTAACCTTTCACAATTTTGTTTGCTGGCTTGATATGATGATAAAATGGGATGCGACTTACTCAGGAAAGGCTGGTAAGTGATTTTATCATCCTAGACTCGTGTTAAGACATATTATGTTTGCTTTATGGTGATACTTTCGAAACAGTGATTCTAAGGTAATCTTGCCCCATAGGCTTCTTGTGTAAGCGCATTACCAACAACACCATTTTTCTTTGCTATTACAAATTGAGGAACAACTCAAAGTCTTGATTACGTGCATGTATTGAACCCAGAATGTTTCTTTAAATAAATATGCTGCTGTTTAACCGTCTGGGGTCAGTAACATTTTTAAATGTGTTAGAAAGAAGTCCCTTATATGCTCACCAAGGCTGAATTTATTTGATCTACAATACAGTAAAAACAGCAATATTGTGAAAAATATTACAATTTCAAAGAACTACTTTCTTTTTAAATATATTAGAAAATGTCATTTATTCCTGTGGTCAAAGCTGAATTTTCAGCATCATTGCTCCAGTCTTCAGCGTCACATGATCCTTCAGAAATCATTCTAATATGCTGATTTGCTGCTCAAAAAACATTTCTGATTATTATCAATGTTGAAAAAAGTAGTGCTGCTTCATATTTTTGTGGAAACCTTTATACATTTAGTTTTTCAGGATTCTTTAATGAAAAGAAAGTTGAAAAGAACAGCATTTATTTATAAAAATCTAAATGTCTTTACCGTCACTTTTGATCAATTGAATGCATCCTTGCATTCAAAAAAAAAAAAAGGTACTAATGCAATTAAAAAGAAGATCTTGACTGAAGCTTGTTACACGTGTCTAAAGTTTGACTTTTAACCTCAGTGTCAACCCAAAACCATTGCACGCCATTTCTAGCTGACAAAATCATTTGTTCCAATAAAAATAAATAAATAAATGCAGTGCACAGATGAGCATATGAGACGATACAAATTCATGGCCAGCAAAGTCTGCTCCGCGGCAGGAGGTCTTGTTGGGTGACTGGCACTGACAAACACGCTGTAGTCGGCCCTCCCCACGGCTCACTCACCCTCGGGCGACTCCTCCTGGACATATGTTCCTGTCAGATACCGATGAACTAACGCCGACTTCCCACTGGACAGGTTTCCCACAATGCCCTGCATGCAGAAACAGACATGAGTCAGGCCAAAACAGAGCAGCAAACAACAGTGTTTGGGTGCATTAAGCACACCGAAGAGAAAACAAATGACTGTCTGGAAGATAATCAGTGGGATTCATTTCAGGATATTAAATTACTAATGAAACTTAAAGGTGCTCCAAGTGTTTTTTGTAAACATTTGCCTAATAGACAATAATAACTTTCATCAACTATTCACTACTGACAGATAGAGAACATCCGCTGTGCATCCAGGATTTCCTTCTAACGAGTCGTCAAACAACACCTCAAGCGTGGAGGAAGCAACTTACAGGAGTTTCCTCGCACCTGACGCAACTGTCCTGCCTGTCAGTCCACTGTATGACGGCTGTTCCTGCACGGATAATTCCCTCACCGCTGCGAACAGACAGCCTTATAAACCTAACGAGGACAGATTTACCCGTCTTTCTCCTCAAACACTGGAGATGAAGGACTTCCTAGTGCTGGGCGGTATACCGGTTCATACCGAATACAGGTGTTTATTTATGTTATGATATGAATTTTTTAAATACTGCAATACCATTGTATGTCGCTTAAAGTTCGGAACGCAACACTGTTTGAAAGGGGTCCCTTTTCACTGTTGCACTGTGGTGAGGGAACAGCTGTATGTGTTACTAAGCGTGAAAGTTCCGAAACTGAAGCTGTAGAACTAATAGAACGTGATGACACAGAAGAACTCATCCACACTGACCGCCACAAATATCCACCGCCCGCTGCCATCAGCTCCCGCGTCTCACACACACGAGCGCGACTTTAGCACTAGATTTAGCAACTTTCAGACCCTTTTAGCGGATTTTTTCCATTGAATATTCATACTGACAAACCTAGCGACTTTTTTGGATAAACCTTAGCTATGGTTCAGTTGGAAGATTTCGCCAGTGCTGTCCCGCGAACTCGAGGTCTGACTTTCCCCGAGAAGTGTCACCGCTCTCGGCATCTGTTCTGTGCAGTGAGCGGCAGAGAAGCAGTGCATTCAGTTTGCAGCAGCAGACTCGTCAATAAATGAGTACAAAACAGTGTTTCCTAGCACCTGTCGCTTATATAATTTTGAAAAATACCGTGATACATTTTTGGTCATACCGCCCAGCACTAGGACTTCCTCTAACAAACATTGAAAAGGAACGATGAGGTTAGCACCAATAAAGACAGATGGAGACTTTTGAAGAATTCAAATTCTCCTGAACTTTGAATGTTGAATGCTAATTATTATTTTTGATAATTTGACTTTTAGCTACCAAGACAAACAGCTGAGATTAACACATTTTCGATATTTAAATTCCTTTTCACATGATGATTGTCCCCCCGATAATCACCATAGAAAATTTGAGAAGTCCGTCTAAACAATATGCAGAACCAACATTTAAATGATAAGGTTTTAACAATAGCTAAAAATGTCAATAACAAAAAAAAAGTTACAAAGCCATTTTTTAAACTTATATTTACACTTCTTCATTTCATTTCATTTAACTGGTCTGGCAGCTAAATTATACCATTATACTGCCAATAATTAAATCAACACAATCAATGTACATATATATATATACAATTAACAAACAATTATTATAATTATATAATAATAATCATTATTATTATTATTATTACATATATAAATAATATATACATTAAATAATACTTATATAATACTAATATTACTAATTATTATTATAATAGCAAATAAGTATTTTTTATATTTTAGTTAATATATTAACACAATGTTTACCTTAATTATGGCTAAATACACCAGACCAGTTAAATGAAATTAAATGAAAAAGTGTAAATATGCGTTTTTAAAAATTGCCCTCTTTGATATTGTACAATATTAATGGCAGTAATTAAATCAAAATGTAAATGCATTAAACAAACGCTAACACCAGCCATGTGGTCATGCATCACTAGGACCAAGTTGACCTTCAAAAGAGCACTGAATACTGCTTTCGTCATGGAAATAGAAAAACTCTGTCCATTCTTTTCCCACACCCCAAACATCCTCCTCCTCCGTCATCATTTAAACACCGGAGGCTCATACTGAGCAGCGTTTGGGTTCATCAGAGGGTGTTGTGTACTGTTAACAAGGTTCAAACAGTAACAATCTTCCTCCGTAATAAAGGCCCAGACGAGCAGTTCGTTACCTAAGCGGCTGCCGCAGGCCTCCAGAACAAAGAGGAGGATAGAAACTTCATTAGGAGAAGACTGCATATAAAAGCTTTATGAGAATATAGTTTCATTGCATTGCCTCATAGTAAGAAGTTAGAATGAGTGTGTTCTTTAAATGGGACAATTATGATTCTGGATGATTATTCTTCCATGAAGCCGATACTGATACTAGTAAAACTATGATCTGTGGTGTACAAAATAATATAGCATAAATTGAGTTATTCCAGTCATATTGTGTATGAAGCATCACTGAATTCTGTATTTTCTGACTGGTGGCTATTGTGAGGGAACATCAGGAGAATAACTCAAAGAGTGATGAGCAGAAATATCATTTCAGAGACTGACTGACAACT